ATCTGTTTTTGTAGGATCAATGGAAGTAGTTTCTTAATTCTTACGGTATTGAAGACTTGCTCATGTTAGTCTAAATTTCACACGTTAAGATAGTCGGTAAGATAAATTCGTTACATAGTGTGCTAGTGACGTAATACGGTATATATGGGGTCAGTAAATTCCATATATACCGTATTAAGTCACTAGCACACTATGTAACTAATAGTATAACACAACAATCCAAACAACAAAGACACACCAATACAACAAGTATTAAACATGAACACTTTAATAGTCCATACGTATTCATGCGGCAGGAATACAAATAGGTACACTATCACATGACACAACCGAAAACCTGAATAATAATACCAAAGTTTAATATTACTGCCAATGCATAGAAACAATACATAGCTCCAAGCACATTCGAAGTTCACGACATAAAACAATGATATTAAACATGTGCAGGTGTTAACGTAGTTTTGCAGAACAAAAGATTACTATTTACACTTTCATTAATTTAAACAGTACTGAGTATCATAGAAAACAAAAGACAGAGACTGAAGAAACCCCCGATTTATATAACTCGGCCTTTAACTCAAACTCTAACTTGTTAACCGCACTCTTAGAAGCAATACGAAATGAAATAGTGTAAATACAGTACTACTGAAAAATAAGTTATTTAATAACGCTGACTGAAATCATATTAGTCTCCTTACATTCCTCTAGTCGGTGATTATAACATCACCTAATGCGACTTTTTACCTAACTTTTACTTGCCAGTATTAAAACGACGTGTGTCAGTAGAGGCGCAGGATCTTCTTACCCTTCCAGAGTACTTGAGATTACCTCCGGTTTTTTGGTGAAGTTTGTGCTGATGTTTAGTTTTCCGTGTAGTGTTTTGTACACTATTGCGAGTCTTTTTGTCGTTTTTCTTTTGGCCATGGTATTGTCTGTTTTTAATAAAGATTTTTGGTTTTCCCCTCGGTATCTTCTGTCTTATGTTCGTGTTTTGCTATGGCGATGTCAGTTTCTCTCTACTTATGAGTTTTAAATGTCGGCTTTCGCCTATATTTTGTTGTTATTGAATATTTGTGTAATCTAAATATAAAACGTATTTCCTTTGCGGTAATATTACCACTTTCATTAAAATTCAATGAGATTGATTGTTGGTGTTTAATTCCACTTTCAACCCTCCAGCTATATTGTAACGGCCAGCTTTTATTGGCGGGGGAAGTCGGAGGGTCGGGAGAGAACCACTTACGTGCGGCAGGAAAACTGACAATCCTAGTCAATTAAGATCCGAGTCGAGCACACCCTGCTACGTGCAGGGTTCGAACTCACAACATCAATGTTGACAGGCTAGTGATACTTAAGATGAACTACTTAGATCACCACAATATTTATCAATGTTTAGATGTAAAATATGTATACAAAGAGAACAAAAACTATTGTTTATGAAATGTTGAGATTACTATCTAAAAATAAATTTAAAAAATGATGTACATTTGTATGTGATATACATATTCTTAATGTTTTAAAATTGATAAATTAGATTTAAAATGAGAGAACACGACTAAAATAAAATAAAAAATGCCTTTGGTACTTTTCTAAGTTAATATATGTAATAGATTTAGAAAGGATTATAAAAATGAAAGATTGAGAAATAAAGCCAAATCCATAAAAGCCAAATGCCAAACAAAAGATAAATCTTTTCATAATCACGCAATATGTAATTCAAGCCTCGTTATAAGATTTTCATTAGGAACATTTGTCTGTAAAATATGACCGGACGAAAATCATTTCAATTAGCTGGACTATTATCTCTCGGACTTTTATTATTTAAATTTTTAAATGTCATCTCTAGCTCAAATTTTCACATGTTGTTATTTTTTTTTAATTCAAATGCATGTTTTAACAAATCCATAATGGATTTCGTATCTACGTGTCAAATAAAGGCAACAGTAGTATACCGCTGTTCGAAACTCATAAATCGATAGAGATAAAAACAAATCCGGGTTACAAACTAAAACTGAGGGAAACGCATCAAATATAAGAGGAGAACAACGACACAACGAAAACACAACATTAAAATGTAACACACACAGAAACGAACTATAATATAACAATGGCCATTTTCCTGACTTGGTACAGGACATTTTAAGAAAAAAATGGTGGGTTGAACCTGGTTTTGTGGCATGCCAAACCTCCCGCTTTTATGGCAACGTCAAACCCAACACCAAAACGACAACATCACATGACAGGACCACAATACAAATAAATGGGAGAACATATAGGACAAAGAAACACACGAATAATAGCTAGCAGAAGGCACTAGGCTTAAAATTCAATACGCCAGACGTGCGTCTCGTCCACACAAGACTAACCAGTGACGCTCAGATAAAAAAAGTTTGAAAGCCAAAACAAGTACAAAGCTGAAGAGCACCGAGGATCAAAACTCCCAAAAAGTTGCGCCTAACACGGCCAGGATTTTCTGCCTGGGATAAGAACATCCTTTATATTTAGAATTATTTATAATTTTGCAAACAGTAAATATTATAAAATGACTATATAATAGATATACATGATAAAACCAAAGACAGTTTTAAACAGATACATATCATGACAATGGACAATAATTACTTTATCCCCAAATACATGTATTTCTTAATAATTATGTTTTTTTTTTATTTCTTTATAATTATGTTTTTATACACTTCTTACAATAATTTATATTCAGTTTTGGAAAAGGGCGCTAACCGAAAACATCGAACTCAATATTGTAACATCTCATATATACTTGTTGGACCGTTTATTAAAATTGTTAAACGTTATCCCAACTTGAATCTTGAATCTTGAATGATTTGCAAATTTTCTGGTTATTTAAAGCTGAACTTTGGTAGGCTGCAAAGAAATGTGGAGATTTTCTTGGAATCTGTTTAGAAGTGGAATTAATGACACACAAAAAGGTCATTTCTCAAAAAAAAATTATAATGCATCTATAATGACCAGTACTTTTTGGGGTTTGGATTAAAATTACAAATTTGAGCGAAAAAAGACTAGTGAAAGATAATTTTTTTTTATTCTTGACAATATTGCGATCGACTTATAAATTATTCCTGAATGTCCAAGATGCAACATTTTAACAATTTTTGGCATATATATCAAACAAAGATATTCGAGCTGCACTAAACCCGTTAAAAGGATATACATTGTATAATTAACACTACGAGGAAACCTTGTCACGTTACCAAAACAGAAAGTCTCGTTACCAAAACAGAAAGGAAACAAACAAGTTACAATTTACAGCGTTCAGGAAAATACGACTTTTTGTGTGGTTGCTTACATCCTCGTCCTTTGATCTCGAGTGGATAGTTACATCTCATTTGCATTCCTACTATCTCCCTATTTATATTGTTTATATAATAAGGACTCCATTTTTGCGTTGTTTCGCTACTGTTATTGCGTCTCCTTGATACTACTTGACATTTGAATAACAAAAGGTCACAAACAAATAACAGCTATGTCCCTCAACCATCTAAATGTCAGATACTATTTCCTTGTTCGGCTTCAAACAACAATTAAGGTAAACATGTTGGCTTCATCAAAAGTTATATAAAAAAAGATTATTTAATCGACTTTTGGGGAAGATCATATTACACTGAACTAAATATGAGGCAATCAGCGGCTTCATTTTTGCTAGTTTTTTTTTATTTTTGTTTTGTTGAAAAGTACTTTTTGAAAACAAATTTGATAATGAACTGACACATGTTTGAAAGTTTATCGATGTACTTTCAATTTAATATTTTGAACTTTATTTCAACAGTTCGGTTGGAGTCATAACCAACCTTACATCAGAACTTTTTTTACGCCAAGTCAAATTTTGGGACAAAAAATCAGATTTTAAACATCTGCGTTTTGCCTATAAACAGCACAAACAGTGTTCACGTCATAGACTTTTCATAACAATTTAATGTGTATCCTTTTTTTAAAAATATAATATTAACTATTCATTAAGTTGTTGAATAATGAATTTGACAATGTCTTCGCACGTCCAGAAAAGAATACTGAAATAATTCACCAATTCAGCATGAAATTTGTGATTATTATGATTTGTAAAATTTGTGAAGTTTCATGTATCTGGCATCAAAGAGACTTTTTTTTACTCGAATGTGAACATAAAATTAACTACTCAACATTAACATTTAACTAGTAATTAAGACACAAGGCAAAAATACAGTGATTAATTTGTACATGATTTAATACAAAACGGTCACAGCACTAATAATGACAGTAAAACTTATTAGTATTAATAATATGTATTAGGTATTAATTAACGACTTAACTGTAACTGATGACACATAGAATTTACTCTGGGTTGTTTGTCTCACTTCACACCGAAGTGTTAAACTATTCAATTTAATACTCTTTTTTCGACAAGGATTGGTCATTATAATAAAAACTGACAGATCAAACAATATGAATAATAGAAGTGGGATATACGTCAATGTGAAAGCAACCCAACGATAAAAACAACCAAAAACAGCAGCGGTAAATATGTTTTCCTGAAAGCAATTAGGAACAATATTTCACCAAATATTGCATGGGAAACGTTTTATTTTTTATATGCATAATAGACTTTTATCAGCGTATATAAAAAAAAACATACATATTTTACTTATATAAGGCTTTCATCCTAAAGCTTGTCCATCTTTGAACTCATCTATACTGTCACTTTGTCACTTATACCAAAATATTTTATCTTAGTATTGTACTATTTTTTTTTATTGTTTTAAGCCTTTCAAAATATAACCAACAAAAAAATATAAAAAAATACAAAACACACACACACACACGTACACACTCAAACATTATATAACAATCAACACCACTCTTTACAGAAATAAATTGATATTTGTTCACATATAAAATGAAATAAAACAAACTTACACAATAAAGATGATAGATATTGAAATATATTTCCAATCTACATGTTGATTAAAACAATATAAATTGCCTACCTTTTCTGACTTTCCATTTATGTCCAGATAAACAGTTTTGGTACTCTCTATTGACGATCCGTTTCCCATGTCTATTTCAAAAGTAACTACATATAATATTTTCAAAAGTCTAGCATGTCGATATATTCAATATACTGTTTCCATATCAATATTTGAATCTGATTCTACGTTTTACTCGCGTTAAACACAGGAATCAATTGGCTAATGTTGTTGATGTTATCGCCTTGGTAACACAAGGTGCGTATGATTGTCATAGAAACGTATAATTATATATAGGTATATCTGAAAGCTGTGAAGTGACCGATCACTTGTATCAATACTGTCACAATTTGTACGGCTGTCGCTGGATAGGAGATCAATAATACCCTCGATAATTAGACTGATCAGGAATTTATATTTGGTATTATCATTCAACAGGCATTTCACTTGTCGCGAATTAATATATAAAATCAAGCCAATTCATCCCGACATACTTTTATCGAAATTTCCATCAGGCAAAAATAATGACTAGTTACATATTTCCGTTTTACCACTTAAGATGTGACATTCTGTCGTGTTAGAAAAATCTAAATTTGCTGATTGGGGAGAACAAAAATATATACAGGAAGCAGATTCGAATCGATATTCAGGCTCCTACATAGGTAAAAAAATTAACTTAATCCACTTTTTCTTGACATTCTTAAAATATAATATACACGGTAGGTATAGTGTCCGGCTAGGATCGTGGTTTTTCGAGTGATTTGATCGGGTTTTTTCGAGTGTGACCACTTTTTTCGAATGAATATGATCAAAAATGTAAACAAACAGACTTACTTTCTGAAAAGACGTGATATAGAAGCTTGAGTTTAATATACAAGGATATACAAGGGGTGTTAGTATTTGAGATAAAAAGATATTATCAATCCGACATTATTTTTCGTTCAAAAAGTTGAATTTAGCCTTACAATGCTTTTATTCCAAAAAACAGAATAAAGCCATGTTTATACATATACCAATGCAAACGTCCATGGAAATGCATACATGGAATCCATATATCCTTAGATATACAGACACTTTACAAAAATTCTTGATGTTGCATTGAAAAACGATATTTTGAGACTAAATTCATTTCTATGTGTTCTGGTTTTTTCGAGAGCAGTCCGGGCTTTTTCGAGTGCGTCCGTGTTTTATCGAGTGATTATACAAATTTCCTATAGCTTAGAATGTTGTGTGTCAGTGTATTTACGTTTAAAAACAATAAAAAAGGGTTCAAATAATGTACTTTTTAAGGCACGAAACCAATGCATTCATCAGTTTAGTAAAGGTGTACTAACACTTAGACTTTATAAACAAGTATCAGCCATCTGTATATATTGTTGTTTGTCACATCTAATAAATAACATGTACAGTATATATTCATGATGTCAACAATCTAATGTAAGCATAGACAATTTGGGTTGAGACGTACGTACAAAGAATGAATTGAGCTGATGAATTATTAATTTCATTGTTAACTATATATGAAATTTAATTCAGATGTTATTGTCAATGGGAATAAAAACTGGTCGGATAAAGTGTCTTTTAGTAGAATATTTTTTATTACATATAAAAAAGAAGATAATGAGACAACTCTCCACAAGAGACCAAATGACACAAAAATTAACCACTATCATAGCTCACCGTACGGCCTTCAACAATGAGCAAAGCCCATACCGCATAGTCAGCTATATAAGGCCTCGAAATGACAAATGTAAAACAATTCAAACGAGAAAGCTAACGGCCTAATTTATGTAAAAAAAAGAAACGAAAAACAAATATGTACACATCAACAAACGACAACCACTGAATAACAGGCTCCTGACTTGCGACAGGCACATACATACAGAATGTGGCGGTGTTAAACATGTTATCGGGATCCCAACCCTCCCTCTAACTTGGGACAGTAGTGTAACAGTACAACATAAGAACGAACTATAAAAATCAGTTGAAAAAGGCTTAACTCATCAGATGGATACAAATAGAAATACATCTAACAAAACAAAATGCGTTTTTCTGATTCTTCTTTGCTGTCCAGTAGGTTTCTTACTCCGTTGGACGTAAACATTTGGCCATGGGCGCATGATACGCTTGATATCAAACTCGCCGGAGCATCGTTTAATATTATATTGAAATTAAATAACTCGAGTTGATATCAAGCGATATCCATTATCACTCGTTATGAAACCTATAAATAATTTCTCAATGTCATATCAAAAATTTATAAAAAAAACTAAAAGGGAGGTAACCTTAATCTATATAAAGCAGTCACCAAAGTTTCATGAAAACTCCTCAAAACACTTTAAAAATATTGTCCAAAAACTGTAAAATCACCCCTATTTAGCTCACCTGGCCCTAAAGGGTCAAGTGAACTTTTCTCATCACTTGGCGTCCGTCGTTGTCCGTCGTCGTCCGTTAACTTTTACATTGTGTCGTCCCGTGATGCTCAGATATATACGTCTATTTTTTACAGAAATCTTCTCCTCTAATACTTATGGAACAAGTTCATTATAGATAGAGATAACTGTAAACAGCAAGAATGTTTAGTAAAGTAAGATCTACAAACAAGTCACCATCACCAAAACAGAGAATTTTGTCATGAATTATATTCTGGTCTTAAATGTAGAAGAGTGTCCATTGTTTAATATGCACTGCAGCACATAGACCAAGGTGAGCAACACAGGCTCTTTAGAGCCTCTAGTTTGTTTAATAAAATCCTATAACTCGAAAACGTAAAATCTAAAATTTATAAAATTTGAAAGGGAGGATACCTCAATAGATAAAAAAAATTCAACGAAGTTTCATGTAAATTGGTTACAGCGTTTTTGAGTTTTGTCCGACATGCTGACGACGGACGGACAACGGTATACCATAATACGTACCGTTTTAAAACTCCGGGGTTCACCACGAAAAATAATATTAACTGTGACAACAAAAATACCATAAAATGAAGTTGAAAAGATTATGAGTCTCCTGCACTATGTTCTTAAGACCTTTTTATAAAGGATCCAATAATTTCTAATTTAATACTGGAAAGTTGTGGTAGAACGTTTTCCGAACAGAAAACTTGCATTAAATTGAAAAAGGTTAATTTTGATCAACGTAGTAATATGTTTTGGTGATTTATTGAGAATATATGATATTTTCATTCATTAAATTACATTTATATACTAGAAAAGTCATTTTTTAAAGCCAGAAATAACTTTTTTCTTATTAAAATTTTCGTTAAAAAACCCGGACCATTTGTTTAAAAACCCAGACGGTTTCACAGTTCCTCTCGAAAAAGCCCGGACAATAACAAACACTGAATTTAATGGTTAAATACAAGGAAATTGTGCTTCTTTGTTACTCAAAACATGTATAGTATTCAAAATAAGATAAGTAGTCACGTAAAAAACTATTATAATTACGAATTAGTAGTTAATTGACCTGATCGCATGTTTTATCACTCGAAAAAGCCCGATCTACACTCGAAAAAAATGGACAGATTCACTCGAAAAACCACGATCCTAGCCGGACACTATACCTACCGTGATATAGCAAGAGCAATTACTCATCTAGGAATTTGATGTCCTATTTTTAGATAGCCGGCCGACTAACATAATGATGGTTGTTTGATTGATTATTAGTTTCTTGACCTCCAGTGGCAAATATTTCATGCATGTTTAGGATGATCATTATAATGATGTTACCAAAATGTATAAATGCAATATTGAGTATACAATATTTGAGTAACACAATCAAAACAATAAATCAAAAACATAGGTCTATCACAAAACGCGGCAAAATCTAAATCCAACGACATGTATTCCTACATATATTCCTGCTTTGTAGGAGGAAAATTCGTGATTATTCACTTCGATTAATATACAATAAAGTTTAAGATGATCGTTTGATTGATTATTGCTTAACGTCCAGTGGCAAATATTTTATTCATATTTAGGACGAAAACAACTTAACAATAAATGCAAAACGTACTTTCTGGAAGGTGATAATGGGCGGTAATTTTAGACAATCACTGGAAAATGAGGATATGTTGGATAGAGGCAGACATGTTTCCTTGCAACATGCCAACTAAGGACTCCCTCCTTCAGAGAATTGTTGCAAAGATTGAAAATAAAACTTTATAAGTGTTTCGTCCAAAGCTCTTTTCTGGATTTACCTTCATCAGAAACGCTGATACTAAAACAAAATGAAAGTTATGGATGTTTAACCATCTAAACACGCAAAGATCTATATGATCTAATGAGTCATAAAAGAAAAACCAAATCCATCTAAGGAGTTTTTATCGCGCAGAGGTCTAGGCATTCATCTTACATGATGCAACGATTATAACGTCCTCATTCCGACCGAACGTGGCTGCATGTTTATACATTGCGCACAGCTAAACGCACGTCCATCTTTAGCAGGGGTTTGACTGCTAGTCAAGAAAATGACCATATTTCAATACTCCGGTCAACACTTTGGTTCGATTGCCAATTGATGCCATAATGATTTTAAGTTGTTGTTTTTAGTATTGTTTTCTATAAAAACACGTGTAATAAATGTTTCATGCGGTTAATTCTTTTTTATGGAAAAGCTCGAGTAATTTGGAATTAACAATATCACACTTATACGAAGAAGCGTCTATGTAGAATTTATTTTATAAATAAAAAATAAATAGCGAGTCCTAAGAGCTTTTCTGGATATACCGTCACCAGGAACACTAAAACTCTAAAATTTGAAAACCAAAGACGTACAGGTATAAGTACTTGGAAACGTATAAGGAGCTTTATGACAAAATGAAGTCCATGTAAAGTCAACTTTGCAAGAGGAAGTTGGAACTTTAATTCTTAATAATTTCTAACTATTAGAAACAATGTGAAATCAAGGGTAACTTTCATATTAACGACCGTGGAATTATCTTTGTTTTACCATAAATACATACATGTATATTAAAAGCAATTTCAAATATTGACTTTCATAGTTTATCAGTTTTAATTTCAAAATTAAAGATATGTTATGACTTTAAAGTATCCTGATGGATTAAAATAACCACCGGACTCGGTTGTGCATGGTCACTTATCGTCCATGAAACTAGTAGATTACCTTGTAGCCATTTTTGAGTTTACTACTCTCTGTAAGTACACATAAAAAAAATGATCATTTGTAATGGAATACTTTTCACACGTCATACCATTACAAGGATAGATTTTGATGTCAAACAAAATTTTCATCGTGAAGCAACCTCTTAAGTTTACAATATGTGACAAAACAACGTAGATGTAACAACAGTTTTATTTAACCAAAGTCCGGTATGTGTCCATTATCAACACAACC